CGATTTCCTGCCTGGACACCTTTTGCTGGTGGGGGATGAATAAGGAAGGAGCCGAGGGGCTGAGCTGGGAAGAGAGACCCCCACTCCTACAAGACAGAGGATGGTGACCTCCTCGAGCTGTGTCAGTAGATGGTGTGGGCAAGGACCGCGCTAGGCGCCGCAGGATGCTGCACCGTGACGATTCGGTGCTCCAGGAACAAGTCACAGCAGCAGTAACCGCGGGGGGCGGGAACCAAGGGCTCAGATTAATTTTAAAGCCAGGCTACTCAAGGGCAAGTTGCAGAAGGAGCTGTGTTCTTTGTAGCAAACCCTGTAGATCTCCTTCACTTTTACATTAGCACCTAAAGAAAGAAAGAGAAAACTGAGAGCAGAATACAGGCTGTGTCTGGTGTCCACTGTAAAACTTGAGAACAAAAGATCTGCAGTCCTCGGGGCAGTGCACACGCAGACACTGAATTCCTGCATTGCTTTCGGCTCCCCTGGGAAATCAAAGTCAGTCCATTTGCTGGGAGACTCTCTCTCCGTGGCAAAGTGATGGGCACCCTCCCAGCTGCCAGCAGCACGATCCCTCGGGAGCCGTATCCTGCAGCTCTCGCCCTGAAGCCAGCAGGCTCCCCCCTGGAAGCACGGTGCTGGGGGAGCCGGGGAGGCCGCCTGCCTCGCTCAGGGCTCAGGCAGCTCCCGCAGGAAGGGTTTGATTTGCACTGCTTGCTTCGGCTATTTAAATACTGCAGTGAGTGCTGGGGTAATTTTAGGCATGTTTATCCTCTGCTCTGGGAGAGACTCGAGACACATGTAAGCAGTTATTCTCCAGTGGGTTTGTTGTGCTTGCGCTTCCACATGCAACACACATGCACACCCTGCAGTGTGGCAAGGCTTGGGGTGTGCAGCTGGCAGGGCGGACCGGGGAGGGACGAGAGAGCAGGGATGAGAGAAGCATTTCGGGGAGGATCCCCCACTCCAGCTCACGCTGCACTTTATTTGCTTCCCCCACGCGTACCCTGCCCTGGCACCGTAACTTGGAGGGCTCGGCCGAGGAAGGGTGCACTCTGTAGGTCTCGTTTAAAAAAAGGATCTTCCATGGAAAATTGTCCTGCAGAGACTTTTCACACCAGAGGCACTGTCAGCTCTTTCCTACTAATCCCGAATATGCAGACAGGTAAATGAAGGGTTCCTGGATATTCCTACAGTGGGGATGGCTCAGCCTGTAACACGAACGGAAGCACGGGTGAGTCTGCGCATAGCTGTCCAGCAAAATGAAAAACAGAGCACTTAGGAGTTCACTGAGGGCCACAGACATGTTTTTAGAGGTTCACTGAGATCCCGGTGCAGATGAGACCCACAAGGACGGACAGGTGACCAGACCTCCTCCTCTTAGTGGCATCTGGGCAGAAGAGAGACATCATCAGCTCACAAAAGTGGCTCTGTGAAAATTAGTGGAGGGGGAAAACCCCCCAGACATCTCCAGGGGGTTGGGCAGGGGCACAGTGCTTGTCTTGTGGGTTTGGAGATCCCTGAGGGCTCAACACCTCCCCGTGTCTCTGGAGAGGGCTGCACTGTGCCAGGTGGCCGTATCCCATGGGAGATGTCCTGGCTGTTGTCCTCGGGCTGGGCACCGATAGCTCATTGCTCACCTTAGCTTGGATGCAATTGCACAACGAACAAAACATCTCAGCCCCCTTCCTCCTCTGCCTGGAGCGTGCCGCATCCTAGAGCGGTGGTTTCAAGGGGATTTCTAGGTCATCAGATTAAGGGCTCTTGAAACCTTTTGCTCTCCCGGCATCCTGGGGCTTGTTTGCTTTGTAAGCACTCCTGTTTCTGGCAAACTGCTGCTTGGGTGACACCAGCAGCTTGGTTGTGGTGTTGTTGATGGACTAGACTCACAAACTGTCACGTAATTGAAGTGTCTGATAATAAAAATAGTCCTGCAGTGTTTATTCATTTGCTTTCTCTTGTTACATCAGAGCCTGGGTCTTCTCATTCTGTCTGTGGGCATAAACATTTGCAGTCCATAATGTTTCATGTTCCACGTTGCTTAGGAAAAATAAACATTTTCCTTTTTTCGTTGCCAACAACAACTACCACCAAATAATCCGGAAACAAACCGTCAGGAGGCAGTGCCTGACGGTGCCACGGCGTACGGGAGGTGAGCGGAGAGGAACAGCCAGCCGCGTGCGCGCGGCCAGGCACTGCGGCACCTCCTCTTCGGCCTCCTTTGGCCTCGGCCTTCACGTTCCCTCTGCCTCGGTCTGCAGCGGGACCGGGCTGCAGCCCAGCATGGAGGAGCCATTCCTGTAGCAGAAGTGTTTTGTGTAAGCCAAGAATTCATAGTTAGAGGGGTTGGGAGACTCTGCCTTGTTCTGGGGGAGGTAGGATCAATAAATCTGGTGGCTTTGCCTAGGCATTGTTTCCACCGAGTTTCCATTGTTTCCACTAAGAGTGCCTCGACCAGGAGCACGCCTAGCTCAGGGTCCGACCAGACCACAAACGTAATCTGTTTCTGCCGTGAAATTTTGGCTGCAGCATTAGCACCTTCCGAGGCCAGTCAGCTTCTGGGACACAACCTGGCCGGAGGGGAGCTGGCTCCAGTTTTACCACTAACCATGAGCTGTAGCTGCTCTTTCAAATCCAACCCCTGCAAATCCATGCTGGACTGAGAGGCAGGCTGGCCAAAAAACCGGCAGTGGTACTCTGTGCATCAGGACAGCAGTGCTGATCTCAGTGCAAGAGCACTGCTGCAGCCTGTTAAGGGGGTGCAGAGCCCCTGGGGGGCAGAGCCACCCAACGCTGGACAGAAGTGGGGTGAGAGAAGTGTCTGACACGAGAACTGCAGGAGAAAGCATCTCTGCTCTCCTTCCCCACGTGTTGAACTAAGGGCAGGAGTGCTCTGAGGTGCAGGCTCATCAGTGGGAGGAGGGTAATGCTACTAGCCAAAGAAGCAGCAAACACCAGGGCCTCGCCAAGCACTCTGAGTAACAGAGGGAGAAAGCAGGGAGAAATGGAAAAGCGGCAGCAGAGGGGACAGGGAGGTGGGGAGAAAACCCCTGAGCTCACCCCCAGCAGAAGAGGAAACAGCCCCCGATGACAGGGGGAGTAGCCAGGAGCGATGGGATTCACGTTGCAACCTGTCCAGTCACTCCTGTCTGACGGGGAGGGGGTCTCTTTTCATGTCGGTGCTACAGGAGCAGGCAGGAGCCCAGGTAATTAGGTACCTGACAGAGGAGACAAGTTTAAGTTCAGGGCAGGCAGCAGAGGGTGGACCCAGGCAGAGGAGAGCACTGGGTTTGTCAGTACCAGGCACTGGCCTCACTCTTGAGGTTTTTTTTATACGCAGCATTGCTGATACGCCGCTGTCGCCTTGCTGCTCCGGCTGCTTCTCCCGGGAGGCTCTGGAGGGTGAGTGCTGCCCAACACAATGAGGTTAAAGATGCACCCGGCTCCTCGGGACGGCTGGGACGCTTCCTGGGAAGCGTGGCTGGTGTTCAGCTGGCCCCAGCAGACCCAGAAGCGATGGCCATTGTATCGCAGCACTTGAGGGTTGATAAAGCTGCGAGGAACCGAGTGGGCAGTCTGTACCTCCGCTGTGGTTTCTGCTGTCCCGTGGGATCTGTCCTTTCCCTCCTGTTCCCTCTCAGCCTCTCGGTCACAAGGCTGCTAGGAAGAGACGCTTTCTTTGCGAGGAGCTGTGGCCCGCCTGCAGCACAGCTCTCTTCGCATACAGCTTTGCTCCTCTGCTGTCCTCACTGCCCTTGGCCCTTGGTTTCACGCCTGGCAGCCTCTCTGCGCTCGTGTTGTGCAGGCATTTTGCTGCTCAGTCTCTATTGCAAAGCCCTGGCCTCTTCCCATGGCTAAAAGCTGTCTGTGCCCATGCAGAGCGGGCGCCCCAGCTGCGGGTTATACTGGGAAGGGCAGTGCAAGTGGCTGCACACAGCCTTAGCCAGAGGCTCAGATCCGGCCCTGCACTCAGCTGGTCTGAACGCCTGCCCTGGGTTGCAGGGACTTTGCTTTTGGTCTTCAGTAATCCTTTCCCCTCTGGTGGTGGGATGGGACGAGTGAGGATGCCTTGACAGTTACCCAGCAGCCAGCGTCCTCCTCATCCTCTCTTCACAGGTCTGCACTAGCTTCAGCAGCAGCGCAGCCCTGAGGAAACCCCTAACCTTGCACTTGTGGCATTATACCACAGCTCAGGAGGACTCAAAGCAGGATCTCCCCAGGAGAGTGTGGCTTCAGCGCTGGGTGGGAAGGTTGCAACCTTAAGCGAGAGGACACATTATCTAAGCCTTGGGAAGTGCCTGCAGCGAGGTGTGTCCAGCCAAGGAGGCCGAAATCTCCAGCCTGACGCGTCTCCCGAGCATTGTTTGGCAAGCGGTTTCTAACCGTCACATTTCCCCTTGCCGGCTGCGCCTGCAGTGGCATTTTCCAGCCCTTTCCTGCCATGGTGCTAATGTCGGTGCAGTGACGACAGGCAGAGACTCGCTGTTTGTCCAGGGGCACAGTGAGCGCACGGGGCAGCAGGGCAGGTCTCGCCTCCTGCCTCCACCCAGAGCCGTTCGCAGGGCCACGCTGTGTCCCTGGAGGGCGGGCAGATGGGAGCAGGGAAGGTCCTGCCTAAGGCAAGGTGGGGTTTGGATGGCTGGAAGCTGGGATTCATGCCAGTGGCCTTGAGTTAACCAAAGGGGAGAGAGAAAACCTACCTCTGGTCTGCGCCTGAACATGGGATCCTTTGGGGTGAGAAGGAAACAGGCAGTTCCTCCTCTGCCCCTGCTCAGAGGAGGGCGATAATCTCCCGTTCCTGCCAGTGCCCCCAGCCAGGAAGGCAACAACTGGCCTTCCTGGGAGACCAGGGGGATGTGCTTGGCACAGCCAAGACAAGAAAACAGGAGCGAGCTCATCTGGGTCAGCCTCAGCTCACTCACCTACCTGGGCAACTCCTGCAGGTTTCCCAGTGCTCCCAGTTCCACAGCGAGGGCTCTCCCAAAGGTCCATCTCCTTTTCCTCACCATGTGCCCCGATGCGGCTGTCCTGCACCTCCTGGTCCTGGGAAACCAGACACATTAATCACCCCGTGTCCTCGGGCAGGAGGACCTGCCTCTGGTGGCAGTGGGTGCTCTTGAGTGCACCCAGGAGCAAGGAGCCAAGCAGCCCTCCAGGCTGGGCTTTGGTGACACGACTGCCGTTATGTGCTTGGCAGAGGGTCTCGTCGGGGCTGGGAGCAAGATGTTGGCGAGGACATGAACCTTATCAGCTCCTCCTGCCAGCTGTCCTTCGCAGGTGCTAGCTGCCAGCCCAGGCAGGGTGCCAGGCAGCTCTTAGAGAGCTCCTCTTAGAGAGACAGGTACCTCTGAGCTGGCGGGGCTCCAGCATTCAGCAG